CTGACTACTTAAAAAGCAAAACCAAAAAACTGGCAGATTTTGGTTACTCCTCTAGCATTTGGATACTACGCTAGAAGGAACAGTATCATCAAGGGATGATGGAGCAATATGTTTTAGTAGGAAGTGATAAGTTCTTATTTTACTAAACAGGGCCAGTAGCCAATAGAATCGGGATCAAGGAGCTCTTCACTTTGAGGGGTTTCCAAAAAACCCTAGTGTTAATTTTACATACATCATTGCAGTTCTAGAATGCAACCTTTCAGATAGGCAGGAATTTTGTTTGAACCCCGTAAATGCTTTGGAAGACATCTCTTGTACAGTGCTAAGAACCTGCATTCTGATATCAGACAGCTCTGGGTTTGCCTACTAGCTGCGTGACATCCGGGGAGTCACTCATCGCTAGAACCACAGCTGGTAGTGACAATAGTCAGACTATCTCATATGTACTCATATGTAAATGCATAGGTAGAGTTTTATACTCAGTGCTTTATAGTGTCTTCTATTTATTATCTCATTTAATCCTCATGGAAACCTTGTGAGGGAGGTACTATTGTCATCACTTTAGGAATGAGCAAAAGGAAGAACTTAATTCTTCAAGGACACACACTGAGCATAGGACCTGGGGCAAGAACCTGATGATTCTGTCTCCACGTTCCGAGTTTTAGCCACATTCACCTGCCTCCCTGAGCCTCAGTTTCCTTGTCTGCAAGGTCAGAACAATAGTAAGCCTCGTAGAGTTGGCAGGAGGCTCAGAGATCATGGAGTGCTTCTGAAGCTGGCGATTCGTTACCGCTGCCAACACTGTTGCTCTTAGCAATGATTGTAATATCAATCAATTTCTAACAGGAAGGAGTCACACATCCATTCTTGTTTGCACACCTATCTCTGTGAACAGAGACAAGCTCTACTCACTTAAGAAAAGCTGGTAGATTTACTACAGTTTCATCAGGGCCAATGAGCAGGGTCACCAATGACTCAGGCACCTGCTTTGTGACCATTTGGATGCCTGCCTAGAGGTATAAACTCTCTAGTAAACATTCTCTTGTTGGTAAGCTCGCTTTCTCCTTCATGAATCTGGGCCCAAAATCCACTGTGTCTTTAGCTTCTTCCCACAAAGAGGAGATTTTCCTGCTGGCAGCTCTAGCTGCCATTGTGGGATTTTGCCCAGGAAATTTTGTGAAGTTATCTGACCCTATAGAATTATATAAATTTTTAAAGACTGTCGGGGTGCCTGGGTGGCTCAGTCGTTAATCTCTGCCTTCAACTCAGGTCATGATCCCAGGGTCCTGGGATCGAGCCCTGCATCGGGCTCCCTGCTCGGCGGGAAGCCTGCTTCTCCCTCTCCCACTCACCCTGCTTGTGTTCCTTCTCTCGCTGTGTCTCTCTCTGTCAAATAAATAAATAAATAAAGACTGTTGCAAAATCAGGAATCTCAATGCAAGGCAGCCACATCCAAAGCAGCAGTCTGATTCAACAATCCCTTCAATGGCAGCCCTTTTGTAAACACGAACGGCTACCAGAGACCAGCATTAAAAGCAACAGTCACTACTTAATTGTGTCCTTAAAGGCTGGGACATGTAAACATTAAAGATATACATTTTTTGCTATAGAGATACTTTGAGGCCAGACCTACAGAATGCGACAGCTGCCATCCAAAGCCTCCCTGCACCAAGAGATGCTTGTCTGGAAAATCCAGTCCTGGCCAGACAGCTTCCCGTCCTCAGAGGACCCTGCTGGTTGTCACCCAGATGTTCTCTCATCCCACAGCACATAGACAAGCAGGGGATGCAGGATCCATATCTGGAGCTCCTTCTGCTCCCTGCCCTACAGCCATGATGGCTCAAAACCATAGGTCATATGAATGGTACTTGGCTAGTCTGTCACATGATTGTTTAAATGCCTACCAGGCTAAAATTTCCATTTCTAAAGCAATGTTTCCCAACATGTGGATCCAGATCAGAATTCTCTGGGGTGCTTGTTAGAAATGCAGATTCCTGTGCATGTCTTATCTGTTTTACTGTGTGATTATTTGTTTCTCTTGTTAGCATGGAAGTCCTGAAGAGTAGAAACTGGTCTGTTTCCCCCGGTACCCCAGTACCCCCAACAGTGTGTGACACCTCGATAGTAAGCGCTCAATACATATTTGTGGAGGGAATTAATTCCTGGGCCCTATAATCGACCTCCTGAATCAAAATCCCTAAGAGTGGAGCCAAGGAATCTGCATTTTAAAGCCACACACAAGTGATTTTTTTATGCACACTAAATTTTAAGAACCATTGTTCTAAAGTAATTCAGCGAATTCTAAGATAAACAGAAAGATGAAAAGTTTTGTCTCCAGAGGCCCCCATACTATATCATCTGTGAGTTAAACTTCTCTGTTCTGCTCACATACCTCCAACAGATGTTGATCGGCCACCTTCAGGTTCTGGGTCCCTAAGTGGATAAAACAGGTATCTTAGGCAGAGGGCCTAAGAAAGGCTGGAACATGCCCCGTCAAGAGCCACAACCATCACTTTCTGCCTGAACTTGATTATTTGATGAGCCCGCCCCAAAACTCCGATCGAGAAATGTAACACACTGTTCATTACTGCTTTCCCAGCATGCTTGAATGACACCTCTGATCCAGGAAAGTCAGATATTATCTGCAAGGATTTATCTTATCGTAAAAGACTCCAGTCTTCCTAAATAGGTTTCCTATCTGTTTGGCCCTTCAAGGAAGCTTAGTGTTTTATTTCTAGTTACAATCAACCTTTTACCAACATTTGATCTTGGGCAGTCACTTCACTTCTCTTGGCCTGCTTCCTCATTTGAAAAATGAGACAATTAGACTAGAAACAGGTCTTCAGCCCCTTCCAATAATAATGTACCCTAATCTGTGACTTCTTGGTGACAACCCACTGCCTCATGCTTAACATCCAGTTGTGATTACACGAGTGAATCACAGCTGTCAAACTTGCCCAACCAAAACTCTTCAAAGGAGAGTCTTTTACTCTCCTTTGGTATGTGGAAGACTAGGGAGAATTTGGGATTTGCAAACTGTTTCTGAAAATTCTTTCTCAGTTTCCATGTTTACCTAGAAAAATACAATGGCAACTTTAATGTGCTGAAAACTTTATGTAAAAGACAACTATGATACCCAAATTTCTTTTTTTTTTTTTTAAAGATCTTATTTATTTATTTGAGAGAGCGAGAATGAGAGAGAGAGAGAGAGAGAGCACAAGAGGGGGTTGGGTCAGAGTGAGAAGCAGACTCCCTGCTGAGCAGGGAGCCCGATGCGGGACTCGATCCCGGAACTCCAGGATCATGACCTGAGCTGAAGGCAGTCGCTTAACCAACTGAGCCACCCAGGCGCCCGATACCCAAATTTCTTCTGAATCTGCACATTTTGTTTCTATCAGCGCTGAAGCAAGGTGTTTGAGCATAGCCTGATCTAGAGAGATGGAAAATCACTGCTTCGTGGGATGACACCCCACCCCCCACCCCCCCGGCCAAGCTGTGAAGTGTAGGGAGAGATGTAGGGAGTGAGCTCCTTGTCCCCGCCCCACCCCCTGCTTTCCGTCCGTTCCCTCTGTCCCTCCTTCAGAAGCCCCATCTCACCGAAGTTCCCCAGAGGCGGGGGCTCTAACCCGGAATCGTACCCTCAGCCCCAAATGTACATTCACTGTCCTTTGTTCCAACCCAGCCTGACTAATCACTGATAACTTGTGCATGATGGTTGCCAGATAATTGCGTTTTAACTGCCTTCCTTTGGAAAACAGCTTCACATAAATTAGTGGTTCTTAAGGCTTCTGTAAAGCTTAGAAGATGTAATGAAGTGCTTAAAGTCATAGGGACAGCCAGGAATGGATTATTGACCTAGCGACAAATACCAACCCCCCCGCACTCACTGCTCCCTAAATGCCAATAGGGTTTCCCAGCCATTTATTGTGACAACCTCCTGCCCATAATTTATTTTTCCAAATTGCCTTTTAAAAACCTAGATCGATGACCCCGATGTGAAGAGTTAAGCCAGTTTAGCAACCTCAAGAGAGCTATTTTGGTTTAAAGAATTTTTTACTACTTCCGGCACCATGCAACTACTCTGTCCTTTCCCTGTTTTTTCCCCAAAAGTCGGGAGATGGATGTCATAATACATAACAATCTCAACAATACAAGTTAACATTTAGGAATGCTTCCCACATGCCGTGCACTTTTTAAATAGTTTTGCATTTATTAACTCATTTAAACCTCATAGCTCCATAAGTAATATTACTCTCACTCTGTTCCAGGGACAGTAATGAGAGGCACAGAGAAAACAAGTCACTTGACTAAGATCACACATCTAGCTACATCTAGCTTCTTGTCTAAATCAACTCCTTTGATTATTATAATAATGCGGTTTTGTAATTAGCAAAGCACTATCTGTGGGAAAGAAACATTTCAGGAAGGGAAGAAAGGATGTTTCTTTTTCCAAAGTCCATGTATCTAAATGTTTGAAATTTGAGCCCATGATTTCCCTGCCGGCTTTATGCTTTTAGCACTTAGAATGTAATTAGGTATTTTTTTTTTATTTAATATTTTCATTCAGTTGTTTCAGAATGGATTTCTCTTCTTGGCATGTCATCTATATGTGAAATTGCAGCTCCCTTTATTCGAAGATTGGGAACACGAATCTCTTTTCTGCACTCTCTTTTCATTGCCACGTGGCTCGCGCCAAAGCAGGCTTGTTTTAACCGAGTTAAGAGGATGACCCAAAAAGTGGGTTCTGTGCAGCATGGAGTGACGTGTAGCTGTTCTAACAGCACAGTGTGCTCAGGAGTCTCCTCAATGTGTCAGAAATTATGTCCTGCATCCTTCAGGGAGGAACTGCATTTCTTCCTGGAAACAGCCATCAAGTTGTTTTAACCGATCATGATTATCCACTGCTTAGGGTTGAACTTTTACCCTGATGTGGCTGCTTGTAAAGACAACAAAGTAAACTATTTGAAGCAAACCTATAATGTATGTATTTTTCCTTTCAGGGGGAAAATGATCCCATCTGATCTTGAAAGAAGGATCCTTGAAGCCAAACAAAAAGTAAGTTTTTGTAGGGAGGTTTATTCAACCCATAACAAGCGAAGGGTACATATTTCTGTTTCCGTCCAGTGGAGAACACACTTCGGTTTTGTTTTTTTTGTTTGTTTGGGGGGGAGTATTGGGGGGCAGAGGGAAAGGGAGAGAGAATCCCAAGCAAGCTCACGCCCAGGGCAGAGCCTGACACAGGGCTCGATCTCACAACCCTGAGATCATGATCTGAACCATAATCAAGTCAGACACTTAGCCACCCAGGTGCCACCGCCTTGGTTTTGTTTTGAAAAGAAGACCCAGTTCTCAACCTCCCAGCTTTACTGAGAATATGGGATTTTTGCATCCAGTCATTATTCATTTCTCTGAGTTGTAGCCTCTGCTTTGGAAAGATCTAAATTGCTGTTTAAATAATATACCCTGTGATAATATACACGGTGATGCTGGAGGAATTTCTAAAGCATTTGTCTTACTATGTGCTGAGAGTTGGCATTAAACAGACGTACATTTGAAAGATCATTTTCACAAGTGGAAAATATCACAATACCAATGCAGCATGAGTTACTGTGGTGTGGTTACTTGAAAGGGGCTAATTTTTCCCGCCTAGGAATATGGTTATGATTGGCTCTCCAAGCATCTTCTTCTTTGGCTGGAGACCAGCAAAAGATTCCCACAAAGCTCTAGAAGGTCATTTCTAACCAGAGAGCTGGTTTGTAGAACTCCCTTAGTGTAACTTTTAGCGGATAGGACCCACGGTTCCTAGTTCAACGAGAGGAACAGGTGCGTTTTATTATTATCAAACATTAGGAACACATTATTTCTTTAAATCTGCCTTTTATATTTTTCTGCAAAGTGGCAGCAGGAGGTTCCCCTTGTTCCTGTTCTCGAACTACTTCTAGTAGCGTAAACCACAAGATTAAACCTTTGCTGCCACCTAAAGACTGACTCTGACATCCTGTCACATCATGGCTCTGTTCATTCTGTTCGAGGCATTCTTCTTTTTCTACCTTCTAGCAATTTTCATTTAGCCAGGGCCAGACAGACTGAGGACTACTTAGACAGATAACGATCATGGCTTATTGTCCAATCCCACATGAACCCTTCCCTCTAAGACACCAAATAAATGATCTCAGGATTTTCTAAATAGGAATAAAGGGTTGTATTTCCTTCTTTGTTCTTTTGCCTGCTCAATCTAGGGGACTGTTATATAAAAGGAAGACTAGAAAGTGAACAAAGGGGGGTAGAATATCTACCTGGAATATATAAATGGCTTCGGGCGCCATAAAATTTCCTCACTTCTGGGTGCAGTGTGGCCTCTCCTGAGAACCAGAGTGTCTGTTCTCCTAAGGCAAATGGCAGGCCCAACAGAATGGCCTGGAGAACTCAGATCCTGGAGAGTGAATGTCCTCCCAGGCTCCAAGGGGTCGACACTCCCTTTGAGGGTTCCAAAACTGGAGAAGTGTGTGACAGAGGGAGGATATCCACTGTTTTTATCAGCTTTTAAAAAAAAATCCATGACGCCCTGTTTGACATTATTTGGGGCTTTCTTGTTTGTGTAGGGATTTGTTCCTTTCCTTGTGAGCGCCACAGCTGGGACCACCGTGTATGGAGCATTTGACCCCCTCTTGGCAGTTGCTGACATTTGCAAAAAGTACAAGATCTGGATGCATGTGGATGTGAGTATCCCATAGGGACAGCCACTAAAATACCCTTGCGCATTTATTCATTTGGGGCTCATGGAATGAAATGTTCTCTCTCTCTCTCTCTCTTTTTTTCCTTTGGGAGCCTTTTTTCAGAATGGGGAGATTTAAGCTTTTGAAGAGTCCAGAGACAAAGTAGCCCACAACTCACCCAGTACCCAACATTGACTGGAGGAAGTCAGAAGCTGACCTGCCTTAATGTCCCCAACATGATAATATTCTTATTTCTATGACCAGTACCCAAGCTGAGCACTTAGCTCTTGATTCATCAGGAATGTAGCCTACACACATCCATACACAGCCACACATGTGCACGTTGTACTTCCCTAGGAGAATGATCAAAAATGCGAAAAAGAGTTACATTTACATAGGAAACCCAGAGGATAAAAAAAAAAAAACCTCAAACTCAAGTCAGGTATTTGTATATTTGGAGAGGAAAGCAGACTTGGCAGCTTGCTAGGAAGTATGGGCCACCAAATTTCCAATTTCTTAGCTGGGCCAGCTAAGAAGATAAATTATATTTGAAATGTTTTTGACTCCAGACCTAGTCACACTCAAATGAAGATGTGCCCACCAAAACATTTTCAAATGAAAAAAAAAAAATGTCAAGATTTAGAAGGACAAAGTGAAGAAATTTAAGCATAGGCCAGTATTACTCAAAGTGTGGTTCAAAGATCAGCTGTTATTTGCAAACTGTTTGTTACTAATCCACTATTACTAAGGCTGAACCAGGTAGATTTCCATGATCCCAGTGTTACCCTGCATAGTGGTGGTTACCAGTCGTCTTTTCCTTCCCTGATTCACAGTGTGAGTTGTTCCTTAGGCTACCAGAGACCCCATCAGTTTTACAAATGAAGACACTAAGTTGAACAATTCAAGTACCATCATGACCTGGGTCTCGGAACTGGAGAGCCTATTAAAGCTTGTTAGCTGAAACCAGAAGAGGATTATCCTGACAACTTTAAAAATAACAGTGTCTTTGCGTCCTGAGCCAGCAGGAGCTATGGTCTCTCCTCTAGGATTTCTACTTAAAACAGAGCGGGGAGATCTTTTAACCAACTGTATTTGCTTTCTTTGAAACCTACCAAGTGTATCACTTATTATCTTAAATGTTTATACTCTTTATAATTAAATTAGAGAAAATCTTAAATTATTACATATTTGGAAAATCAGATAATTTTTCAAAGTGTAAAAGAACGGAAATTATAACAGACTAAAAAAAAAAAAAAGGCAATTATACCCTAACAGGTGTTTTTTTTTTTCTTTTAAAATTATCTTAGGATTATTTTTACCCACAAAGAATGCCAACATTTTCCAATGAATCTCCATCTTGACATCTTTTTAAAGGAGATCACTGCATCACTACACTAATTCAAATCCTCAAACTTGAGTACAAGTTTTTAAGAGGCATATTCTAGTCGCTCAACAAATTGGCACAAATTCTTCCTGCTTGTTTTCCTCTTTCTTTCTTTCCTTTTTTTCTTGACAGAGAAATTATCTTATCCTCAAATACATATTAGTGAAATAGGTTTATGAAGCTGCTTCTTCCTTCTGGAATCATCCAGACTTGCCAAAGGAGTTTTCCTTACAATTCAGAAGCTGCTTAATGAGTCCCCTAGCCCATCCTCTGTACTTTCAACAGGGCAGACAACAGGGTTTCTTGTTCTGACATCACGAGCTTTACCAGGACTATGCGTGGTGGTGATGCGTGGGGGAAAGGACCTTTCCTTTGGGCAGACACAAGAAATGTGCCGCCAGTTTGGCTCCTTACACTTGTCTAAATGTGGGATGGAACCTGAAACCTTATAATAGTTTCCAATTTAAACTCTGAAAGTCTAGTGCCAGAAGGTGACCAGCACCCTGTTGCCTGAGCCTGAGGAGATGACTTTCACCCCATGAGAGTCTCGCTATTGTGGAAGACACCAAACTTTAGAACTCTAGGCAATGAAAGACCTGTTACCATGTTCCTTATATGATCTTCCTTTTGCAGGCGGCTTGGGGTGGGGGATTGCTGATGTCCCGGAAGCACAAATGGAAACTGAGCGGCGTGGAGAGGTACACCCACTTTTCTTGCTAACAGTGTAAAGTGTGAAAGCTAAATGTGAAAAGCAAGTTACATACAATTTCCAAGCACTCTTGGGACACAGGTGAACCCATTCTCTGCAGTGTTTGTGTGCCTTGACCTGTGTGGTCATAGACCCGTGAACATTACGTGTAAATAACAAAAAGACATCAAATCCTCTATCCAGTAGCCCAGGCAGAATGTTTCTCAAATAAATAGAGATTCCTAACTGGAGTCCGTGGTTGACCAGAGGGCTCAGCAATGACCTTCCTACAATCTCTGAACCAACTACCCAAATTATTTAAAACCTGTTGGCAGGTCATAATTTTCTAGGGAGAAGATCTGTAGCTTTCATATTCCTCAAAAGGATAATATCCACTGCTGTAAGCAAACCAACAAATAACTTTGCACCTTGTAATTTATCCCGTGTTGAAAGCATGGGTTTGAGGTTTACTACGGCCAGCTGAAAGCAAGACATACTTGTGAGAACCTCATCTCATGGTTTCATTCCTACGATAATTTTCTTTTTTTTTACATAGCTCTGATGGATGCCACAAAGCACTTTTTTTTCAGAGACTAAGCAGTAGATGGTTGAGAAAAGCCTCCAAACCCAAAGGAGGTGATATTTGATTAGCATAAAACATATTCAGGTCTGAAGAGAAAAGGAAAAAAAATTATAGAATGCAAAATCAGCTCAGGATTTGCTGACCGTGCACAAAGGAAGCTCAGCGTTCCCGTTCTCCCATTACACCATGGCAGGTCAACAGCAGAGGTGAGCTCTGCTACGCCAGGCAATTAACTTAGAAAGCCTGAGTTGGTCCGAGGCTGCCAAGGGCCCACCATGCCCTGCCCAGTAGCCACATGCTGCCCAGGAAGAGTCTCCCACTGGCTTTGCCTCCAGATATCTTGGCACAGTTTCTGCTCCAGGATGAGGAGAGAGGCCGATGGAGCGTGGGAGCATCTGTCGGCATTGGCCATGGGGCCAGGCCAGGAAGGATGCCCCCAGCGTGCTCTGTGATGCCCAGGCCTGCTCACATGTAGAGAACCCGAGGGGGCAGGGGTCACCGAGGCAGAGTCAGGGGCACATTGCCTCACTTGTGGAACACTCGAGAGACCCACTGAGGCCCAAGTCAGCAGGGTAGCCGTCTGTGAGTCTGCCGGCTGGGGTCAGTGGCTGGCGGGTAGCGCCGCCCGGGCTCTGATGGCAGGTTCCCACTTAGCTCCAGTCTTCTGGGGCTTCTCCCATGCCCAATTCCTTTTTGCCATGAAGATCTCTATGGAACCAGACGCTTAAGGAGAAGGCAATGCACTACACAGGGAGAGATGATGGGGGAAAAAAAAAAAAGAACAGCTTGGAAGGTGCCTGCTCGGATGATCAGAACGAGAACGAATTCTCGTGCTTTCAAGAGAGAGGTGGCCTGTACACAGTACCTTCTCTTTAGTTTCTTTCTGACTGGCACAAAATGTAAGCGTCTATTATTATACTTTTAATGCCACCTGGGACTCTGAATGCCAAAAGCCAGGGAGCGTCCTCCACCAGTGATGACTTAAAAGCTCACTAAATTACCTATCCTGAGCCTTGGAAAATAAACACCCACACACTTTTGTACTAAAGACTGTTATTTCAGAGCAAAGCTTAGAACATTCACTGTGGACCATAGTCTCCTCCAATTGCCGCAGTTCTGAAACCGTATTGTAACTAAATCTGCAAAGTGGAAGAGCCAAAGATGAAGTCCTCAAAAAAGAGGGGCTGCTACCTCTGTACCCGAGAGTATCCGTCTTGCTGACTTATTAGCAAAAGGCACATCGTCTTTGGTGAATACGCTTGTAGAACCAGTGGAAACGCCTGGGCATAATGGGCATGGGCATAAGTTTAGGGACAAAAATTTGCCCCACTTGGGGGCACACATTTTTCCAAGGATTCACTCCAAAGGGGAGGAAATCCATGGTCCATTCTTGTCCCCAGATCGAGAGGTTCCCCCCTTGGTCACAGGGTCCCCAGAGTGCCCTCTTCATAACAAAATGGCACAAGTCACCAGAGCCTACCTGGCACTCCCTTTGAGTACCTACCAAATTCTCAAAAAGCAGCGTTCTTCTTGCTAACGCTGTCAAATTTTCTAGAGACAGCCTAGCTGAGAGGGTGTGCCCAGAGCCCTAACGCACCCAAGTACACTTCACTTCTGTGCATTGTAGACTGTCTCCTTTAATCCCTCCCCACAGCAGGCTGCTGCTTGCCTGTAATCTCCCTTTGTGGTCGCCCCCTCTCAAGGCTTTTGGGCCCGGCTGAAGGTCCTGGCCCGGCTTCTGCCATGTTACCAATTACTGCCCTCACTCCGGCCCCGAGAGCCGGCGGTTTAGAAATTCAGTTCAGTAGTGACTGAACCTCTGCCACATGCAAGGTGCAGCACCAGGCCCAGTGAGGGCACAAAGACGAATATGGTGTGAAGCCTATTTTCAAAGGGCTTAGAATCTGGGAGGGAAGAGTGGCAGTCAATGATGGGTTAAACTTCAAGGCAGAGGAAGTAAAGGCTCAAGAGACAGACGAGAGCTGACTGGCAAGCGCGGAGAAAGGGATGATTCCTGCTAAACGGGGTTATTCAAGGAAGTCTTGGCGCAGGGGTGGGCATTGGGGCTGCGTCAGGCGGAAGTGGAAGATGGACATTCAAGGTGAAGAGCAAGGGCATGGAGGTTTGAAAGGGTCCTTGGAGGAAGTCCAGATAAGTTTGGATGGAGACTGAGAGGGACTCACGGCAGTGAGTAGGAAGCTCGTGGAGTGTCCACAAGTCCTGCCCAGGGAGTCTCAGTGGAGAGCCTGCCCACAGGACCAAGTCAGGATCAACATAAATCCCTGAGCTAAGAATCCCTGCTCTAGGAGCCATTATTTTGCATGGAGAGCATTATATTTATCAGATTGGGAAGGGGGGCGTGAAAGCCCCTGCCGTAGCAGCCATGGGCGGGGGCACGGGGGCAGTGAGGAGACGAGTCATATGATCTCACTGCCCTTTGGAGAGACAGCTCTGGATTTGGGAGGAGATGGAGGCCAGGGACCCAGTAGAAGCCACTGAGCTCTCGAGAATGTCCAGGTGAGGGGTAGCGGTGGTGGCAGAAGCTAAGGGTGCAAACCCAGGCGGTAGCAGCTGGGAGGGAAATAAGTGGATGAACCCAGCCATGTGGCTTCCATGCAACAGGACGAACCATCACAGAGACCTGCTTGTCTACGGGACCACATGTAATTTAAAGAACCAGTGCTTCTGTTGACTTCCCTTGCTTCTGAAACACTTTGTGTATATATATATAGATAAGTTGCGCTCTAATTACATGAAGACCATTGTATATTACAGAATGCTTAAACACTCTTCGTATATACTTTCTTTTGCCTTATTTTCCAATACTTTAAGAAATTCCACACTTTCTGCCTTGACAGACTTTACAGTCTTATGTAATATGTTGAAAAGTACAGGGGGCATTTTTTTGTAGATATCTTTGACCAAGCTAGCATTAGCTTGTTGTACTCTAGGAAGCATCTTCCTCAAAAGTTACAAGCACCAAGTACTACAGAATAAAGCGCTTTATACAAAGTTAAAAAAAAAAAAAACAACAAACTAGAGCTGCAAGGGGTGATATGGGGAGAGCAGAAAGAAGAAAATGCTACTAACACCTGAGGTCTGAGAGCTAAATGTGTAGGGGGACAGTGTGAGGCCCCGAGGCACAGAACACACGTGAAAAAACAGATCTGGAAGGATGAGGAGGGGCAAGTTAATGAGCCCGTGTGGGGTCTGCTGAGTTCAAGGTACAAATGAGGCCACAAGGACATGTCTTAAAACAGCCCTCAGGGAGTCAGTTTTCTCTAACTTACAATAAATCACAGAAGCCTCATGACTGAACCTCACAGCAAAACATTTTGAAATGAACCTGAGGCTGTTTTTCATAAATTGCCAACATTTCTCAAACAAACTAAGGGCATGTTATTGAATCACTCTGTGCAGCTTTTTGCTCTGTTTATGAGGCAGCCCCTCTGCGAGAGAGGCAGGACAGGGAACTCAGTGACGGGTAGCTGTGGGCCTCGACAGCATCTACTCTAAAAAGACAAGTTGGCCACAGCATCGAAACAAACACCTCCAGGCAGAGAAATGAAGAACAGTTATTCTCTCCTCCATCAGGTGTCATTACCGACAAAGTTGACTTTCATCAGGATTAGGCATGGAGCTGTAGAATATTCTAGAAGCAGTGTATATGTGCTCAAAGTCACACAGTGTGTACATGATAGAATTGAAATCAATAGTAGGAACCAACCTTGTTTAATGCTTACTGTGTATCGGAAGATGAGCTGGCCTATCTACTGATTCAGATGAGATCCCCAGGCCAGAAAACCTTCTCTGGCTGGCCAGCTGATGCCCACCACTCATCAGATAGAAGAATGGGATGTTTCACAGCTTCTCATTTCTTCCCAAGGTTCTTGGGCTTGGGAAGCAACTCGAGTGCTGGGAGCAGGTGAGCCCAAGTCTGTTGTTCAGCCAGAGGAGGGCCAGCAATCCGCAGGACTCTGGAGCCAGCTGCCATGGGTAGCTCTACTTTCCCTCCTCCTGTGAGTCTTGTTTATACCAAGGTCACATTCATGATTCTCATCCTCAAGGACCCCTTAGGCTCTCAGAAGACATGCACAGGGGCTCACCGTGCCTGATAAACCCGTGAAGTGAGCGATGGGAACTCACTCATGGAGGGGACACTTGCTTTCCCTGGGAGCCAAAGGAGGAGCCTGTTGGAGCAGTTCAGCAGGAGTGAGGGAGAGAAGTTGAATGAAGGTGAAGAATTCTGCAGAGAAAATAACACTTGATCTGGGACTTAAAGAATAAGTAAGATTTAGCCAAGTGGAGCAAAGAGAGATGACATTCCAGGAAGAAGAAATAGCATTAAGAGACCCAGGAGCATGAGAATAGAATTTTCTGAGAATAAAAAATAATCTGATGTGATGAAAATGATGTCATGAAAAATGAAAATGGGTATGGGATAGAGCAAGGACACAAGACTGAATACATGGCCTGCGCTCACCCTTGATGGCATTATTATTATTATTATTATTATTATTATTATTATAAGAATCTGACCCAGAACTATGGTTTAGACTTTTCAAATAGCATAAAGCCCTGACAGTCTCTATTACTGGTGGGAGAGCATTGTGTTTCTCAAGTGTGTTGGGACAAAATAGATTGAAAACTGCTATAGGAACCATAGCATATCCCACCTGTGGTCTAGAAGGACATGTCTGGGTCAGAGAAGAGATGAAAGTGGGATGAGCTAGAAGCTATTATGAAAGGACAGATATGAAAAATGTAATAATCAATTGAAGAGGAAGAAGGAGAGATGGTTGAGAAGAACAAAATTAAGCAGTGAACTAAGCCATCGCTTTACACCCCAGGCCACTATGGTAGCGCCTCCAGGAACAATAGAGGCACGTGAGGACAGCCCCTTCACCTGCTTGGTGCCCTCCTGCTTGGCCGCCAAAGGCAGGACGCTGGAGTGGATGATCCCAGTCACTCAAACGGACTCTCAGATCACACGCAGGCTGGCTGAATTCCTCCATGGAAGCTAGCGGGGAGCTGCATGAAGCTGCCCACCCTCACCTACTCTCTCTGTAGACAAAGAAAAGGTTGTAGGTTTAAGAGTCCACATTTTATGTTGTAAACTTAGTATCATCCAGGAGCCTGAGAAACAGTGGTAAGAACCTCAAAGCTCTGTTGTCCTGGCACAGGACCTTGTAGCCTGAGCCTGTCATACGTGCCACCCTCTTAACTCCATTTCTTTCCCTTAGGGCCAACTCTGTGACATGGAACCCACACAAGATGATGGGCGTCCCTTTGCAGTGCTCTGCTCTCCTGGTTAGAGAAGAGGTACGTCTTTCCTGATTCACGGCCCAGTCCATCAGTAGAGTTTGGTAGAGTAAATGTGTGTAGTGACGGAATCAGAATGAAGGATGATTCACAGGCTAGAACAGTGAGCCATATCCAAAAAGAAGAAATCATTCATGAGGATAATTATGAAGTCTTGCTCTTATTTCCATGTAGAGGATGGTTCTATTTTGAGTTGACAAGACAGGCATGTTTCTTACATGGCTAAATTGTAGTGTGTGTTTGTGCGTGCATGTGTGTGTGTGTGTGTGTGTGAGTACGTGTGTGAGTATGTGTGTGTGTCTGGCTTACTTTATTTAGCATAATGTTTGCAAGGTTCATTTATGTCATAGCATGTACCAAAATTTCATTCCTTTTGTGGCTGAACAATATTCCGTTGTGTGAATATACCACAGTTTGTTTATCCATTCATCCTTCAGTGGACATTTGGGTTAATTCTGCTTTTTGGCCGTTATGAATAGAGCTGCTCTGAGCATTTGTGTACGATTATTTGTTTGACTATCTGTTTTCAAATGAGGGACCTGTTTTCAATGGAGGAATGGAGCTGCTGAATCATATGGTAATTCTATATTTACCTTATTGATTAACTGCAAAAGTGGCTGAAACATTTTACTTTCCCACCAGCGTGCATGAGAGTTCCAATTTACTCTACATCCTTGCCAACATTTCTAAGAAAACACAGCTAAATTTAGCTCTTAAATTTAGGTCTTTGAACCATTTTGAGTTAATGTTTGTGTATGGTGTGAGGTATGAGTTTGCATGCGATATCCAGTTCCCCCACTACCATTTATTGAAGAGACTACTCTTTCTCCATTGAACGGTCTTGGCACCCTTGTTGAAAATCAATTAGCCATAGATATATGGGTTTAGCTAAATTGTACTTCTAAAAAAGGCGTAGAACATTAGGTTGTACTCAGCAGGGCCCACAATGAGTCAAGAGAAACTTAGCATTCATAAAATACTAATGAGTTAAAAAAAAAAGTGGAGTTTCAGAATGAGAAAGGTCGTAGTGTCCCACCGTCCTCCATGCCTGGAATGGTTGCTTAGGTCAATGCCAAATTGCATATGGGACCCCACCAAGCTAGGGTTCAAACAGTGGGGAACAACTGGTGAATATGTGAGAGGGATGGTTGAAGTAACTAAGGATGTTTAATTTAAAAAGAAAAAGAAACTTAAAGGGCTGGAGGATGGCAGCCTTCACAGTTTAAGTGACTCTCAAGTGGAAGAGATTCATTTTTTCCTTGCAGCTTCGGGGAACTGGCTCAGTAGCACTGGGTTTGAATCAGAATATGCTATGATTTTAGGTCTGACTTCCGGTCAATGAAAGGAAAGCTTTTCTAAAAATTAAGCTTCTCCCGAGGTAATGAATCTGGGTAATGGAATAAATTCACTGCCAGGGGAAGTGACTGGAGATTGGACAGCCACTTATTAGTAAGAAGATAGAAAAGATTCCTTCATTGAGAAGGAGTAAAATAAATGCTCTAGGATCCCTTCCAAATCCAAGAGTTTATGATACTCTGACAGCATGTCCCTTATTGAGATATAAGGAATAATGCCATTGTATAGGACTGTATTAAATATTCTGTGATAAGAGAGTTCCGGGTTTAAACAAATCCTGGGGTATTTTAGATTGAAGAGTTAAAAGGAAGTTTCGTTACTTCAGGGCATATCAGAGCCTTTAATATGCTGATATATATTGCAACTACCTTTGAAGAAGGGATTTATGATGTAGAGTTTCCTAAATTTATTTGCCCCTGGGAATTTCTTTTACAGCAACTATTTGAGAGCACAGCAATTATTAGTGTACTTAAATTAGTTGGCCACATAACGGTCTATAACTTTTTAATGGCTTGGAATCAGAGTATTATCTCATCAAGGCCCTTTATGTGAAAAACATGACTTTTATTTATCCTTTTGTGCAGTGAGACGGATGCCGGCCAGCCTTTGGGAGGTCCCGTGTTTTGAGTTGCTTTTCCTATCCCAGGTCCACTTTATCCACCATTCCAGACTCTGGGGTGATCTCCCTACGACTGGTGGCACATTTTTGTGAGCGAGCTTGCATGGCAAGCTTCTGTGACCATGAAACAAAATTGAAGCACATGTTGCAATTTTCAATCTTATTGGTCTTTGAGCGAATTTTCTTTTTCAAATCCAAAGTCATTCATTCTACTCCTCTATTACAGTTATTTAATTTCCCTGAATCTCAGTGAGTTCAACTGCAAATGAAGCCCAAACTATAAGGTCGAGCCCAGCTTCATTGCCGACCATATGGTCTTTTAGGACCCAGTTAAATTTTAATTGCATTACAGTTTGCTTTCATTTGATACATTTTTTAAAAAGAATTCTCACTTCTAACTTCAACTTGGTGATCACGTTTTAGTCTTCTCTTCTCTTGTCATGAGTCACAAGGGAAAAAAAACCAAATGTCAAAGCTTCTGTAAAATCACAATAATACTGTAGATAATGAAAGAGTCAAAGGCTTCCTGTGGTTCGTGACAAATTGAAACGTGGTGGGGTTTCTGGTGAGGAGACTGACAATGTTGTTTTAGTCAGAGAGCATGATTCATTCACTGTTCTTTGGAATCGTTCAGTCACTTTGCCACCCATTTTCCATACCAAGCTCCTGGTGATGGGGCAAATTGATGATCATTGGCAATGAAACGTCCCAACTCAAACCACCACAAGCAACCGAGTATAAAAATGCAGTACTAACCACTCTTGAAAGGGGAACATGGCATTTGAAAGATTGGTTATTTAAAGACCTCTCAAAATAACAATGTCTACTGTTTTAGATTTCAGCATATAAAAATGACAATAAACTATCTTAAAAGCTATGACTTCCAAAGAGGACTCAAACCCTAACAGCCAAATGATAAAGTACTTGAACTAAGTATGAATGAAACACTAGAATAATCTCACTATTAGTATTTTACAGAACCAAAGAGTTTCTAAAGTATTTTAATTACAACAAAATCAAAACAGCAGGATGTTCCCTCAAAGAACAAACATTATATTCTGATTAAGATTGTTTCTAAAGAAACACATTCTCTTAAAAGGAAGAGGTAAAGCATATATGCCCCTGTTGTTAACCTGTAGTTACATTTGATCCTGAGCCATTTATCCCACAGAACTGACCTATCCTCACAGCTCATACTGTCCAGATATTGGTCCCATTTTATTTTATTTTTCACTTTTTTAGAGAGAGGGAGAGAGCGCGCACACATATGTAGCGCAAACAGTGGTGGGGAGGGGCAGAAGGAGAGAATCTTAAGCAGGCTCTATGCGGAGCCCGACGCAGGGCTCGCTCTCACGACCTGAGCTGAAATCAAGAGTCAGACACTTAACCAGCTGAGCCACCCAGGGGCCCCTTGGCCCCATCTTAAACATTTGATTCTTCCTGCTTTCTTTCTCTAGGAAATTTGGTGTCTCTTTAAAATTTTTTTTTCTTAATAATTTTCACCGCAATGTAAATCTAACAGAGTACTTGATCAAGTCAGTAGAGTTTCCTAAGTTTTCTCTTCTCTTCTAGGGATTGATGCAGAGTTGCAACCAGATGCATGCCTCCTACCTCTTCCAGCAAGATAAACACTACGACCTGTCCTACGACACTGGGGACAAGGCCTTACAGTGCGGACGCCACGTTGATGTTTTCAAATTATGGCTAATGTGGAGGGCGAAGGTGAGCACATGTAGATAGGCCGGATGTCAACTAAAGACAGAAACTCTATCTGGTGACCCTTATTATGAGTTTAAAAATGGATCTCCAAATCGAAAATTACCCAGGATTAAGTCTCTTTAATCCCGTGTCTAGATATCTGCCTTCTGCATGGGCAAGGACAGGAGCCAAATTGCTTCTAATGCTCACTCATCTAGAAAACAAACCCAGATTGCTTTCTACGGCAGAACATCTGGATTCTTAAGAGGCGTTTTGTTGTTGTTGCTGTCTCTCAACTCTTGGTTTTTACCCAGTGATTGATCCCTTGGGGAGGTTGAAGCCCTCCTTTTGTTTGGAGGACAAAACCCACCACGATAGCTTCCTTTTGACATTTCAAGGGTTATCGTCTAGTTATAAAGCTTTAAAAAAAAAAACAAAAAACCTGGAACTACCCAGTGACTTCATTTTTAAGCTTTCTCTGTTTACCCCAGAATTTAACTACTCTTGATCACTCCACTCAGAAACAGAAACTCTGTAATGGTGCACAGTTTGGGCTTGACTCATTGCCGCCTCCAAGGAGGATACCTGTGTGCTGAAATGTAAGCAGGCTGGAAAGGTCAAAGATTTTCTTTCTCATTTGGATGAGATTCCTAATTTCAATGTTACAAATCAATGACTTCCCACCTGGTTTCATTTACCTCCCACAGGAGGCAATGGCCAGAGCCAGCTGGACGTGCCAGAGACACCCAACTGCTAGAAAACCCAACCGCTCAAAGAGTCCACAAGGGAAACTTGACGAAGGAAACAAGAAAGGGCGAGGTTAGAGGGAGGCTGGCACGCCCCGAGGTCCTCCATGTTTGAGGGAGGGGCTGGATTGGGCTGGATGCTTTCTCAGCAGGCCACACAAACAGAGGGGCCCTCCCATCCCAGAGGACGCACAGATAACTTGGTCAGCACGCGTGCAACCTGCCAGGGTGAGATCACAGACTGTGTCTGTGTAAGGAACCATGTCTACAGCAGAAAGTTCCCTATGCCGTGGTTTTGGTTGTTTTTTTTTAATTTAATTTAATTTTATTTTATTATGTTAGTCACCATACAGTACATCATTAGGGGTTTTTTTTAGCATTTTTAAAAAGATTTTATTTATTCATTTAGAGACACAGAGATACAGAGAGAAACAGAGAGTGTGAGCAGGGGAGAGGCAGAGAGAGAGGGAGAAGCAGGCTCCCTCCTGAGCCAGGAGCCCGATGTGGTGCTTGATTCCGGGACTCTGGGATCATGACCTGAGCTGAAGGCAGACGCTTAATCATCTGAGCCACCCAGGTGCCCCACATCATTAGTTTTTGATACAGTGTTCCATGATTCATTGCTTGTATATAACACCCAGTGCTCCATGCAATATGTGCCCTCCTTAATACCCATCACCGGGCTCACCCATTCCCCCACCCCCCTCCCTTCTGTAACCCTCAGTTTGTTTCTCGAAGTCCATAATCTCTCATGGTTCATCTCCCCCTCGGATATCCCCCCCTTCATTTTTCCCTTCCTTCTCCTAATGTCCTCCATAAGACTTTTCAAAGTCAACTGAATGCCTGAGCAGGAAAGAGGCAGATAGCTAACAAGAAACAAAAGGGGTTTGGGCGTGAAATAATGCAGTCAGCAACTATCTAATGGAAGCCTCTAAAGATCTATTCAGGAAAAAGGCAGTTTATTTTTTTTAGGACTTTATTTATTTGAGAGAGACAGAGTGAGAGGGAGAAGCAGGCTTCCTGAGGAGCAGGGAGCCCGATGCGGGGCTCAATCCCAGGACCTTGAGATCATGACCTGAGCCAAAGGCAGACACTTAACGACTGAGGACACTTAACGGGTGAGCCACCCAGGTGCCCCGCTGAATCTCCTCTAAGTGGTACTAAGTATGGAGCGGCTGCCTGGAGTTGTTGCCCCAGTAAAAGTGGTGGGATGGGCAGGGGCCCCCTCCTCTCTCAAAAGAGCTTGCACAAGGACACTTACTGGGCCCCCACCACCCAAGATAAGACTCATTCTTTGGAATGAGTCTCATTTGGCAAAAATAAATAAATCAAGAGCAGGGATTATTGGTGTCCTCTCAAACTGTTTGAAAATGAGTAGGTTTCTCATTTCATTGATTGGTGAGAATCCAAACTAACGAACACGAACATCAGCTAGGCAGTGGAGGAAAGCTCGATCTCTAAATATTGCTCAGGATCGTCGTTTTGCCCCCTTTTCTGCGATGTTTCTATTACGATGATGATCATTAGCTGTATTTACACAAAAGTGTTCCTCTCATGCTTCAGCGGTTCCTGCAGCTCCTTTTCCATCTGAAGCCCCCTCGCCAGCATGGGGCAACGGCTGGCTGTAAGAGAAATAACCTGGAGGCCATCAGGTGTGAGTGAAACAACAAGAACAACTGAAGCCTGAAATAAGGGCCGAGGAGCTAGACTCTAACGCGCTGAAGTAAAGGCATCAGAAGAGGGAAGAAAAAAAAAGAAGGAAAAAGAACCCAAAGGAACAATCCCAGCAGCCGCATAATTTATCCGTAAATTAGGGATGCATATTCCTTTAATTCCTCATGCCAAACTTAAGTATCTAGACACATAAATGGCAAAAAACTTCCATTTGCTTTTCGACTTAAAGCTGCATGTTTTGCAAATTAAATGGTAATAACGATCAAAGCCCTAAGCTCAGTCCTACAGTCCAGAGGCGAGGGGAGGGTAAGCACCCTCTTGTGCGAGCTCTCTAGTGATGCCAGCCAGGGAAGAAGTCAGCCTGCCCTCAGAAGAACCGAGAAAGAGCAGGCTATGACATTCCATCTCCTATCCCCTCAGGCATGAGAAAAGGATCTGCAAAAACAATACTGAGGAGGAGGCGGCATTAATCAGTAAACCCTCTGTTAGCAGATATGCCTGGAGACTGCAGCATTCAAGTGAATCCACATTTTCTCCTTCACAATACAAACCACATGAAAACAAGTAACCTAACTATAAATATTCCTTAATCCATTGAGGACTGATGGAGCTAAATGCACTGATGGACAGCCTCCACATTAAGTCCAAGATAACTTGATGAAAGCAACTATATGCAAAAAAAAAAAAAAAAAAAGAGCCTCTTGACATGATGCTGGCAGGCTTTCCGGACAGTAATACCAGACGTAAGCCTGTCATGAGCAAAGGCCCTGTGCCTGCCCTCAGCTCTGTTCTTAGTGAGGAGATCTTTCATTTTGTCTGTATCTTATTAGAGAATGCTAAATAAGACTTGATGGTTATTTTCCAGATTTTCCAGATTTCCTCAGTGGGTAAAACTCGGAGTAGATAGAAAAAAACAAAAAGAAAGAGAGAGAAAGGAAGGAAGGAAGGAAGGAAGGAAACGGAGGGAAGGAGGGAGGAAGGAAGGGGGGAGGGAGAGAGAGACAGAGAGACAGAATGAACCAACCTTAATTTTAGGTCTGCAAGCATGGCTCAATATGTAACTACCTAGTTTTCACGGTAAATCTCTCTGTGTATGGTTATGCAAATTATGCGAATTAGCAGATTTCCTTATAGTTTTCTGTAATTGGCCCCCTCATTAAAAATGTAGATAACAGGCGCACCTGGGTGGCTCAGTCGTTAAGCGTCTGCCTTCGGCTCAGGTCGTGATCCCAGGGTCCTGGGATCGAGTCCCACATCGGGCTCCCTGCTCCGCGGGAAGCCTGCTTCTCCCCCTCCCACTCCCCCTGCTTGTGTTCCCTCTCTCGCTATATGTCTCTCTGTCGAATAAATCATCTTTAAAAAAAAATGTAGATAACAGAGGGACTGGCAAATTGCTGAAAAAAAAAATACCAGGAGAAAACCATTAAAGGGAAAGTGATACGAGGCACCCTTTGCTGAGTGACTGAATGAATGTTCACTTTCTCTCTAAAATATCAATTTATTTTAATAAGTAGCTAATGAGTATCTGTTATTGTGCCTGATGCTGGGTGGGATGAGGGGGCCACAATTTTCCAGACGAGGTAAGCTAAATGCACAGAAAACCATCACATAAGACAGAAAATAACTGGTTGTAAAAGAAACACAGACGCACCTTGAGAAGTTAAAGGACGGAGAGCCCATTCCTAGTTTGAGAGCCAAAAATGACCAAAGAGGTCACCTCGGAAATGGGTCTAGAACAGGATATGTAGAATACATAGGATTTCAACCAGCAGAGCTACGTTATTAACGCAATTAACCTGGTGCCGATAGAGAGGGTTCCTAAGAACATACTCTGTAAAAACACTGCCCCAGGGATTAAAAGTACACGTCCATCCATTCAGCCATTCATTCAACAAATGTACGTTGAGCACCTAATTTATGCCAGCCCTGCTGGTATGAGCGAGACAGTGGTGAACAAAAGAAACACCAGTGTGTGCCCTTGCGGAGTGTGCATCTCAGCCATGTCAGCCTAAACCAATCCTAAGGGTGTGGGCAATGAGGGAGAAAATCAAACCATCTTTCTCCTGCAGCTCCCTCAGCGTAACTCAGACGCTGGGGTCCAGACTTTCACTTAGGCACACCCGTCAGAGCCCTCAGCTTCCTTCATAGCAACCCAGGTCATGGTGATGTCACGCCTGATCAAGTTTTCCGGGGGCTGTTGTCATTCTCAGAGTAACAACTGTGTGGCATAGAACAACTACTCAGAAAGTAGTTGATGAATGAGTACATTTTGGAGAATCTCCTAAAAGCCTTCAAAACCTTGAAAATAAAATATGGATCTTATTCCCATAAATATCCAACATGAAGAGACAGGCTTCTAAGAGCACACTATAGAGTTTCCTGTGTCATCCCCCCCCACTCCCCCCTCCTTGTACCTCTTTAGCTTAAAATTAGGGATGGTCAGGTTACTCCTCGTCATCTCAAGTAAAGTCCTAGACTAGCAAAGGCCGAAGGACTCCCCATCCAGTCTGTGATAATCCCACTGCCTTTGCAATACAACCAAACTCCTTTTCAGAGCATTAATTTTACTTTACCATGTCCCTGTGTGGGAGGGAAATCACACAGACACCAGCCTTCCCATGTGATCAGGGACATTAGCCAAGGCCATGGGGCTGGACAGGGTCAGAGTCCTACTGGTCCCAACCATATCCTGGATCAGGTACTAGCAAGTTTAAAGCCAACTCTGGACCAGTCCAAAGGGTCCAGTTTGGAGAACAATGAACTTCTCTCCCTCCTACCTAGGGGCCATCCCCAGTGTACCCAAACTGCCAGGTTAGTCCAAACCAACCCCAAATCCTTGACACCACAGAGTCATAGAGTGCATGGTGTAGGCTCTGGCCCGAGTGTTCAGGCATCAATCAGGGCCCCTCCTTGGGGTCATCAGGAACCAGTCAGACTCTCTGACCAATTAACTTGGGCAGCAGTCTCCATAGAAATGATTCCTGAGCCCATCAGATTTCTTTAAGGCTTCAGATGTTAAAGTCACTGGCTATGCTGCATCTCCCTTTTAGCTGAGATGATAAGACCATCAATAGGAGCGTGCGCCCATCTTATGTACATTACAGCTGCTCCCTCCAGTTTCCATGTTGGATTAGTCACAGGTTGGCCTCTTCCAAGTGCTCCTGGAATGAGCGTTAGCTGTTTTTCTAAGCTTTCCATTAGCACTCCAGAAATGCTGAAGGAGTTAGGAGGAAAGCCATTTTGAAAAGTAATGCCCTGGAGTGTCCCAAGGTCTGTTAAACAGCTCCAGTCCACAGCTGTAGCGTTCTTTTTCACAAGTTCTTGGGCTTCCAGAGCTGGAAGCTAAAAGACCTCCCTGATAACGTTTGCCCGTTACCAACATATGAGTCATTTATCCCCAGAGGAGAAATCTAATGAGCTTTGTAGAATGACAGGCTAACAAAGCATCTGTGTGCCCCTTAAGAGTCATACATTCATTTGTTCAATAAATCTTCCTTGAGTACCTACCCTATTTGTTCTATAACGGGGTTACGTTGGTGAACAAAAGTGGGATCTGGAAGTGGTAAATTTTCATGATGGGCAGGGGCTAAGCTGGCCTGCTGGGGGCTCCCTGATGATGCTGCTTCTCCACAGAAGAACAGCCCAACCTCCTGTCATTACTGACTTCCATAATTACCACTCAGAATGGCAGAGGCAAATTTTCCCCTCGAGTAATCAAAATAATTGCCTACTAGAGAATGGGGCCTCGGGAAGAAGAGGAATCCGCTGCAGGGAGCTGTGATGACATGAAAGGAACTAAAACACCTGAGGGGGGAGCATCAAAGGAGAAATAATCACCAGAAAAGCCTCTGGAAGCACAGTCTTGTGCAAGGAAAGTGTGGAGCAGCACTGAGGTGGAAGTGGCAGAGAAAGCATCAGTCTCCAGAGAGATTAGCCCCACAGAGAGCCCACCTGCCTGATAAGCTTTCTTCCTCTCTTATTCAGGGCACCACTGGGTTTGAAGCACATATTGATAAGTGCTTGGAGCTGGCAGAGTATTTATACAATATCATAAAAAACCGAGAAGGATACGAAATGGTGTTTGACGGAAAGGTACGTATTCTGATCTCTACGATCCCAAAAAGTTTAGTCAGTTCCAGTTCTTACCAGTTCTTATCACTGATTTTTTTTTTTATGTCAATCATGTACTGTCCAGGTAAAGGGAAGCATTACAAAGGAGAAGCTGGGCTGATGGGGTTGCTGTTCTGAGCTGGAGTAAAAAACGCAAACTCACAAAACAATAACTGTATAATGTGGCAAAAGTCAGGCACCCCAAAAGTGATTATGGATTTAAAATAGGAATTCTATTCGGAAGCTGCAGAATAGGTTTGAAATGTCCTTGGAATTTTCTAAATGGCCACGATGGGCTGAGTGTGAATCTTACTTTCTTCCTTATAGCCTCAGCACACAAACGTCTGTTTCTGGTACGTGCCCCCAAGTTTGCGTGTCCTGGAAGACAACGAAGAGAGAATGAGCCGCCTCTCAAAGGTAAGTGATACAGGCTCCTCTGGTCCGGACATCAGTGCGTCCAGTGGGCCTTGCACATTCATGGCGTCTCTCTAGAGAGGAGAAATCCAACCTTGACCTTGGTGCACAGGCCCACTCCCTTTCATGGGCTCCTACAGAACCAGGCCATTCAGAGCTGGTATAGCCAGACTTTTAACTACTCTGTTTTCTTCTTTTTTCCTGAGAGCAAGTTTATGATATCTTAAAATAAGCAATCAGTGACAGCTTTACTGTCATTCACAAATCATACGTTATATGTTAAAAAAAAAGAAGAAGATAGCAAGAGGGGAAGAATGAACGGGGGGAAATCGGAGGGGGAGACGAACCAGGAGAGATGATGGACTCTGAAAAACAAACTGAGGGTTCTGGAGGGGAAGGGGGGGGGGATGGGTTAGCCTGGTGATGGGTATTAAAGAGGGCACGCTCTGCATGGAGCACTGGGTGTTATACGCAAACAATGACTCATGGAACACTACACCAAAAACTAACGATGTAAAGTATGGTGATTAACATAACATAATAAAATAAAATTTAAAAAAATATATAAGGGGAAAAAAAAAAGAACCCTTGGTGAAGTTGGCTGACTCGCCCAGCAAAACTGTTATAAACACAGAAGAGATTTCAGGCACCAGCAATGGTTAGAAATCAGAGCTGCTGCTGACCCTCTTGAGATGCCAAGGTCAAGGCTACCCTGTGGAGTCTTTAGAGCTGTGGTGAAGAACCCCAGAAGGGACCGGGGGCAGGGAACAATACTAAGGGCCACTGTGTAGAGTGCATGTTGTGTCCCAGGCTCAACTGTGATCTAGCATTAGATCACTCAATTATCATAAGTGTTAGAAAGGACTGAAGAAGACAATTTAGGTAACACAAACTTCATTTAACACTTCATGAAGCAGGCAGCCTCAATTCCCAGGGGTCCAGAGAACTGCAAAATGGGGTGGAATGCAAGAAGCTTTTATAGGATGAAGAATAAGGAACAGGAAAAGAAAGATAGAAAATGAATAAGGAGGGGCACCTGGGTGGCTCAGTCCGTTAAATGTCCAACTCTTGATTTTGGCTTAGGTCGTGATTTCAGGGTCCTGAGATGGAGCCGCGTGTCAGGCCCTCGCTGGGCGTGGAACAAGCCTGAGATTCTCTCTGTCCCCCTCCCTCTGCCCACCCTTCCCCGTTTGTGTGCATGCATGCACGCGCTCATGCACTCTGTCTCTCAAAAAAAAAAAAAAAGAAAGAAAGAAAGAAAGGAAAAGAACATGAGTAAGGAACAACAAAATAAGTATAGAACCCAGGGTTGGCTTCGTGTTGGGAATTGGCTGACTGGATATTCCATGTTTCTGGTTAAACTGAGCATTTACAGGGTTATGAAAGTTAAGTGTCCATTTCCCGACGTGACATCTGGGCAGGAGCAACTCCATCATGGGCCTAGAAATTTACTTCAATCTAAGCAAACTGATCTGGGAAGTACTGCTGTCTCCCCATTTTGCTGATGGGGAAACTGAAGCACAGAGAGGGAAAAAAAATCACTTTCCCCAAATCACTGACTCCAGAGCTGGAGGGCTTGAGCTTCAGATTCTTCTGTGGCCAGTAAGATATCCTTGATCTTTTTTCCTCTCCTGCTCCCATCACTTACACATGGGTGAAATTCGGTTGATGATGTACCCCAAAGAGAATCTTGAAGGGAGGTAAATGTGGGGCCCCATTCCAGTGTTGAGGAATGGGACCTAGGGATGATTGTGTGTATTTGGATCTCAGAGCCTGGGTTAATTGGTTGGTTGGTTTTCCATTTACCACAAAGGAGGGGACTTCTTCCAATTGCTCTCAGGAACAGGGGAGGCCCTCTCCCCCACTGTGAAGGAGCCTGGGCTCCCTCACTGACCTTTAAGAATACTTTATTTCCTTCTATGTCAAACAACAGGATTTTTTGTGGTTTGAAACCTCCAGGAAGGCTTATAAATATGAATACCTGCCAGTAGACAATCCAGGATCAAACCTTCATCAGGAAGAAACTGACACATAGTTGAGGAGTTTAAGTGAAGCCTTCTCATTAGAGTAGTGGTTTGCAATCCTGGCCACCCATTAGAATCAGCCTGAAGCTTTATAGAAAACACTGATGACCAGGTCTTAACCCTGAGAATTTAATCCAGTTGGTTTTAGATGGGCTTGGGAATGGTTCTAAAAGTTCTCCAGGTGATCCCAATGTGCAGCCCAGGCTCAGAGCCACTGACCTAGAGGAATGCATGGAAGAAAGCTTCTAGAATGGGAATCCATCAGTGCGTATGTCTGGGTAGGAGGGGTCATGGTCATGTTTGAAGTTTTAATGAAGTTGGCTCATTTGCTCATTCCAAGAAATCAAGCCCAAGAGATGGGCGGGAGGCAGGATGAGGGTCACATTGGAAAAGATGATAGGGAGGCAAAAAGGGGCCTGTTATCGTTTGAGAAGAAAGAATTCATATTTTTTCCTGATGTTTTATGGTGTGGCTTCTCCGTAGTATGTATCATCTTACCAATAACTAATTTCATTTAACAAGTTCGTTAGAAATTAGATGTTTCCATTCTCATTGGCTCTACCTCTTTAATCCATTGACCAGACAGAATCCATGGGGTAATTTGACCGGTTTCATTTGTTGAATCAGTTCATTATTGCTGGGCTGAGGGATGGGGCGAGATGGGAAAACAGAACAGAAAGTGGTTTTCCCCATCAGTTTCTGAGCAAAAATCAATTCTGAGGGGCGCCTGGGGGCTCAGTCGTTAAGCGTCTGCCTTCGGCTCCGGTCATGATCCCAAGACCCTGGGATCAAGCCCCGAATCGGGCTCCCTGCTCGGCGGGAAGCCTGCTTCTCCCTCTCCCACTCCCCCTGCTTGTGTTCCTTCTCTTGCTGTCTCTTTCTCTCTCAAATAAATAAATAGAATCTTAAAAAAATAATCAACTCTGAATTCCCCCCATTTCAATACAGCTCTCTTTCAGATGCCTCAGGTTTTGGCAAATCACATAAACTATGATGGGAATGGAGATTATTTCTTGTGGAGAGCCATGAGAATATTAGTCAACTATTTCTATACTGTTGATAATTCGAATTTGAATTAGGTCTGGGGATTGCAAAATGAGTTCTCTCAATTTTTTCCTCTCCTGTGATTCCATTTTCCTGACTAGAAGATAGAGAATTCAGCAAGTCAGAGTTGGAATTCACAATAGAACCACATAAAATATCAAGGTTAACTTTTGTTTATTTATGTCAATAATTTTTCAGAGTTTCAGAAAAGTTCCTTCTTAAATATAAATCCCTTAAAGTATAATGTCCAGGGACCAGTAAATCTTCACACGCTCAAACACACACATGCACACAATCCCAGAGGGAAAACAGCAGAGGTAAAATAAAATAGATCATTTGCTCTATCCAGTATGGTATCAATAGCCGCATATGGCATTTAAATTTAAATCAATCAAAATTAAATTCAACCAGAAATTCACTTCTTCAGTTACACTGGCCACATTTCAAGGGCTCACCTTGAGATCAGTGGTTGTTGTATCAGATAGTGGAGATATAACACATCTCTATCACTACATAAGATTCTCTTGTCAGTGCTGACATAGACCCAAAATGGGAGGAAATGTGGAGACTTCCATGTGGCATGTGGCAAACGAGAATTAAGTTAAATTCTGGACCCTCCAAGGAAAAATTACTCTTTGTGCCCTCTTGTCTTGGGTACAAGGCTTATTAGCATATAGTAAGGCACTCAAAAACGTTTGCTGAGCTAAAGTGCCATTTACACATTCCAGAACAGGGAGCAGAAACGATATTTAGGAAATCTACTAGTGGATCATAGGCCTTTCTGCAGAGCTCACAGTGACTTGGGGACCGATATCTAGGCAACAGGTGGCTATTATGAAACAAGCAGAATCAACAACTTCATAAGGGAGGCTGAGAATCAGGTTGGAGTATTTCCTGCTGCCTGGTCAGGACTGTGAATGTGCAGGTGGCCCATCATCACTGAGGCACAGTGGACACAGAAGGCCTGGGGCGCCACACGACCACAGGCAAATGCCTTAGACACAGGCAGGAGAAGCAGGTGGAGTCCTTGAGGGCATTCATCGGACAAGAATCCTGGTTCTTCATCATCGCCTTCATCTTGTGTTTTATTCCATCGTATTTGATCATTATCTGCGTATCTCATCCTGACTTCTACCAGTCTATGATTGATGGACTTCCAAAATGTCAACAGTGGATTGAAAAGTACATTGGTAAGGTAGTAGATTGGCCTCATATTTAAGGTGACACTCTTCCAAAGTCTACGTTGTTAAATGTAGCAAGGAATTTAATTGGTGAAATTTTAAAGTGTTAGGATTCCTATTTGTTGTTATTCTGCTTTTTCATTTTTTCCCAAAAATTTCACTCACGTTTCCAAGATTTTGAAACAAAAAGATTGTGTGATACATAGTGAAAAAATATATTTCTGTGATTCCATGATGCTTTAACCTGAACTCTCTTGGGAGAAACAAATGTGGTTTCAAATTATGGGATAGTTTCCTGGTTATTGTTTTCTAAGGAATTGAAAAAGCTAATGACACAAGGGAGAAAATGACACCCTAAAACTTATAAGGCAGCACCAAGAGCTCCTGCTGAGGTCTTTAGTGAAATCTTCAACAGGCAGCCTCTCTTCCCTGACTCTCTTTATTCAACAAAACCAAGAATGAGATCAAAAGACAACATCTAGAAATAAGTGAAAATGTTATATATTCATCAGAAGAGTCAGAATCTTATTTTCCTTCTGAACTTGCAATTAGTGATTATGCAATGAAGTAGATGTTCCATGTTTCTGCTAATTTTAGTTCACATTTTCTGGAAGCAGCCAAAAGTCATGTGTATTTAGATGAAAATCATATGATTTCTCCAACCCAGCCAGCTTCAGTAACTGCAAGGAATCGATCTGACTTTATACCAAAACCTGTTTGGGATGATGTCTGTTACCATTTAAATTTTTGACCTCTGATTTGATTTAATGTCTCTGAAAAGTTAAAGATGATTGTCTTTAATAATAAATACCATCTCTATGTGGTTTTGCTGGGATTGTCCGTGAAAATGAAATCAGAGTTTAATTCACTGAGTAAAGCATTATCATTGTTTTTGTCAGTTCTAAAGAGCAAGCATGATTTATTACACAAATAAAAATTAAGGAATAGTTATGTGATTCTTCCTGAAATTCCGCAGACACATGGATTTGGAATTCCTTTTCTATTTTGGAATTTCTCTTCCCAGGAACACATTGATTTGCCATGTCTCACAGCACAAAGTGATAAATTTCGTGTCCTTATGCTAGAATATTCTACTAGATCCACTTTCAGAACTTAATCCCAGAGTTGAGATACTCAAATTCTCTTCATACTTATTCCCTGGGATGAGCCCGATGCTCTGTGTACCTCCTTAATCCTTCAGGGGAAAGAAAGAAACATTCCTCTTTATATTATCTTCCTGTGTAATAAAAAAGGGGCTGAAAGAGACTTAAGAACACGTTAACCCAGAATCAGAAAATCCCAGGGCTGGAATCATCAAGCACATTCATTTTTAGATGAGGAAATTAGGTTTAGGATGTGAAGTGAGGGTGACATGAAAGTGAAGATGAACTCTGTCCTTGGTTTTCTCTTTGGTTACTAATAAATAATTGGGCCTGATGGGAAATATGTCAATTTTACACATTGAGTACTTAGTTTTGGGTTTTTTTTACATTTATTTAGCTTTCCTTTTTAAATTTTAAATTCCAGTATAGTTAGCATACAGTGTTATATTAGTTTCAGGTGTACAATATAGTGATTCAACACTTGCATACATTCCCTGGTGCTCATCACAAGTGCCCTCCTTAATCTCCATCACCCATTTCTCCCATTCCCCCTCCCCGCCTCTGGTAAACATCAGTTTGTTCGCTATAGTTAAGAATCTGTTTCTTGGTTTCTCTCTCTTTTTTTTCCCCTTGATCAATTTAAAAAACAAAACCATTGTTTTGTTTTTTTTAATTCCACATATGAGTAAAATCATACAGTATTTGTCTTTCTCTGACTTATTTCTCTTAGCATAATACTCTCTAGCTCTATCCATGTTGTTGCAAATGGCAAGATTTCATTCTTTTTTATTCCCTTGTGTGTGTGGATACACACACACACACACACACACACACCACCTTTTCTTTATCCATTCATCAATCAAAGGACACTTGGGCTGTTTCCATAATTTGTCTATTGTAAATAATGCTGCTATAAAAGTAGCAGTGCATGTATCCCTTTGAATTAGTGTTTTCATATTTTGGGAGTAAACACCTAGTAGTGCAATTACTGGATCATAAAGTAGTTCTATTGTTAACTTTTTGAGGACCTTCCATACTGTTTTCCACAGTGGTTGCACCAGTTTGCATTCCCAACAAGAGTGTAAGAGGGTCCTTTTCTCCACATCCTCATCAACACCTATTGTTTCTTATATTTTTTATTTTAGCCACTCTGACAGGTGGGAGATGAAATCTCATTGTAGTTTTGATTTGCATGTCCCTGATGATGAGTGATGTTTCATGTGTCTATTGGCCACCTGATGTCTTCTTTGGAGAAATGTCTTTTGCCCATTTTTTAATTGGATCATTTGTTTTTGGGGTGTTGAATTTTATAAGTTATTTATAGGTTTTGGATACTAACACTTTATCAGATATGTCATTTTCACAATGAAGATGAAAATATCATTGTAAACAAATGATTATTTAAGTGTTGATGTTCAAAAGTTGCATGTTCATAACAGCATTCCATCTGAATCAAACTATTCTTCATTAAAATGAATCCAACTATGATGTAAGGTATAGTCCCCATTTTGAACTGAGTTACTTACTATGTATATCTAAATAAGTCTAAAGCTCCCTGACATCAACCATTCCTGGTTATGTATTTGCAGCAATGAACTTAAATGATCAGATGTTATATTTACAGACTCTAATGGTAAAATACATGAACAGATCATACACACAGTTAGACCTAAGTTAAATGTGTTCCTCTTCCTAGATAGCTATATCCCTATTATTCTACTCTTTATTTAATTTAATAAGGACTTGGGGAGCCCTCAATGTGCACACACAGTTGTGCTTGTAAACAAAAGAAGTAAAAGACACTGTGCCCTTCAGAGCTTACAGTTGAAATGTATTTTCTTATGAGTAATAGGACAATAGGAAAGTTTCTATAGACAGACTCTATGGGTAAGGATCATGTATTTACCACTTAAAAGGAAAAAGAAGCTACTGGACTAGAGGAGTCAAGAAAAGCTTCATCATGGCTGTAGGGCTGTGGTGGAGTCTTGGGGTCTGTGTGGGATATGTCTTGGAAGAGAAAGGGAACTTGGAGCCAAGACAACAAGTGTGACACAGTAAGACTGAGGACAAGTGTGAAGGGAGAAAAATATATGTGGCAGAGTTGAAGATTAGTTTTAGCGAGCACTGGAATATGAGTCCTCAGAGCTGGGGGACAAAATAGCTTTGTGCTGAGCTCGAGAGTTTGAACTTCATCTCATACACAGTCGTCAGAGAACTACTGACGCTGTAATCATTCTGGCATACATGTGGTAAAATCTCACCTGAGAGCCACCTCTGTAATGTTAAGTGTTTGTGGGCTCTCCTTTTGGCCTCAGCTGATTTTCATCATGATTAAGGAATGCATTTCAAAAAATCTTATAAACTGAGATAATGCAAAAGGAGAATGAAAAGAAACTGGAAAGCTTTAGGGTCTCAAGAAAGAAAAGGGCTTTAAGGCCTCAAAAGTCTGCTTATTTTCAGACATCACTTGATATTGAGGCTTACCTCTTGGTAACCATTCTCTGAGCTATGTTCTGTTTCCAGTGTTTTTATATCTTCTGAGGAAAAAACAAAAAGCCCTCCCCCAAATGTTGTATTGTTAAACTATTTAGCCTTGGAACCCATTCTTCCCATTCTCCCAAAACCATAACTGCAAGTTGTTAAATAACAAAAACTCAACTGAGGTATATTTTAAAAATCTAATTGGCTTTAGGCAGCATCCCATTTGGAAGTAGAGGGGAGCTCCGAGGGGCTATAGAAAGGAGAGGTTTTTAAAGCAGGACAAGGAAGTCACAAACAGAAAAGAGAATTATTTTGGGAGAGCTCACCTTTTTTTGGGGAAAAGGGTCTTATTAGGTGAGTACCTCATGTTTCTTTGGGGGATGGGGAGGGGCCATGTGACTAAGTACCATTTTGATGCTGACCAGAAGATTCCTGACCGACCAGTTAAGACTATATTCCTGGAAGAAATTGAAAGTGCAATTAGGTTAGGTATGAAGCCCAGGGTTGGTGACGTGGCCTAGTGTGACTCCATTTGGGGTCTGCAGTTTTCTTTTTCACAAAGTCAAGGATGAGGGAGCAAACAACTGAGAGTCTATCACTTATTATTCATCTTACCACCTTCAAGAATTTGGATGTATTAAACTGCTCTAGTGCTCTGATCCCAAAAAAAACTTGGAGAAAATTCCTTTAAGGGAAACAAATATGAGTCTGGTTGTTTAGTTAAAAACTAAAAATGCTACTTGATATTGGGTTCTTTTACTAGAGGAAGAGTCCCTGGGGGTCACCATGTGGCTCTGGTCTCTCCCACAGGTGGCCCCAGTGATTAAAGCCAGAATGATGGAGTATGGGACCACAATGGTCAGCTACCAGCCCTTGGGAGACAAGGTCAATTTCTTCCGCATGGTCATCTCAAATCCCGCAGCAACTCACCAAGACATTGACTTCCTGATTGAAGAAATAGAACGGCTTGGACAAGATTTATAATAACATAGCTCACTAAGCTGTTTCGGTTCTCTAGGTAGACAATTAAGTTGTCACAAACTGTGTGAATGTATTTGTAGTTTGTTCCAAAGTAAATCTATTTCTATATTGTGATGTCAAAGTAGAGTACAGTTTAAAAATCCAAAAAACATTGCTCCTTTTAAAAATCCTTTCCTAAGTTTAGAATACCTCTCTAAAAATTAGTGACAAAAGGCTGTGTTCTAATCAATAATGAAAAGCTTAAAATTGTTATAAATACTTCCCTTACTTTTAATATAGTATGCAAATCAAGCTTTATTTTCACTTCAGAGTAGTACGATTGAATAGTGCCAAATTGCCCCTGAATCCTAAAAGGTTCTTTGGGGTGCAGTCCAAAGGAGAAAGTACATATAAAATGTATGTTGACAATAAAAACTCTTGCCTTTTTCATAGTATTAGAAAAAAAATTTCTAATTTACCTATAGCAACATTTCAAATGTATTTAAATACATATAATTTTACAAAAGGAAAATATATATATTAAAAAGAAATCCTATTTTGTAACATATAGATTTTTATTTTATATGGGTTATACAAACTGCAGGGGCAGATATAAAAATTAAACCAGATTTTTTTTTCTCTTTCTTTTAATGGAGGCACAATAAAACACTGAGCAAAGTTATTTTGAAACATAGGCCCACAAAATTCTTAAAAGGTAGAATGCCTTCTTTCTATTCATGTGACGGTTTATCATATCTCTAAAGTTAGTATTACAAAACAAACAAAAGAATACTGCAAGTTCTTCAAAGTGACTGACTAGATCGACAATAAGATTCTCTTCCCTGCTGAGTTTTCTGCCCAGTTGACCCTGAGCAGACCCCCTCAGTAAGCATGGTAAGCCAAGCTTCATCTTAGACTAAAACTAGGGTAATTGTACTCTGCTTTCCAGTTCAGCTTGTTTTGAACAGAAGGTGGATGCTCGTTCTGGAAGCATCTTCCCAAAGAGTATTCTTTTATTAGGTCATTTGGATTAATTAGAGAAAATAAAAATAAAATCTAATCAGCCTGAGCAAAAAGGAATGAAGCGCCCTCCAGAAGGTGGTGATCCCAGAAAATTAAACTTGGCCTTGAGAGAAGAGATCTTTGTGTGAACAATGATGTCATCCTGGGCACCATATTGTCACTGTCCAGGAAGGAGTCATTTACCTCCTGGGTAATTGCTTATTCCCATTCTTTCCCCTCTCCTACCCACAAAAGTTCCCATCACTGGAATCCCAAATAATTAATTTCTATCCCATGGGTAGTTATTTTCCTCTCATGAAGTGAGCTCTTCACCTGAGATTTTGAGACAGCATCTTAAGGTTTCTTTTATCTGCCTCTTGTCAAGATTGGAAGTGACCAAGGGCGCCTGGGTGGCTCAGCCGTTAAGATTCAAAGTGACCAGAGTATGCAGAGATAGGAAGATCCTTAGAATTCAGGATAATATTTTAAAGAATTCTTCTTCCCCTACAAACCTGATGGAGAGGCCTGAACTAATACAAGAGCTCCCATAGATATTTGTGGGGCCACGGTTTGTCGGATTCCAAGTACTAGTGTGATGACTACAGACTGATCTATGCAGATTGCAGGTACAAACTTAGAACATTCATCCTTTCTATATGTATCTTAGAAAGACTACAGGTATACAAAAGAAGAAAGAAAGAAATGCCCTATAATATAACCATAAGATCCCATCATCTGAAATCTGCATTAGCTTGCCCCTACATTCTTTCTCCCACATTATATCCAAAAACATTGATACTTGAAATGAACATAGGTTTGGGTCCTTCCTGTCTAGGAAGCAAATGGGTTCCCTATGATGATTAAGAGAAAACTTTTATCTGTACCCCAGAATTTCATGAAGGAATAAACCTCCCATTCTAGGCTATGTCTAATGGCCAAGCATCCCTTTGCCTTCTAGACATGGGCCACTGAGACTAAGCACATAGCTGCCCATCTATCTTGAGCCTCAGGCCAAAAGGTCCTACCTCAGAGGCAAAGACACTAACTGTCAAACCCACTGTCCTGCTTGGAGAAGACAGTGGAGCCCAGGGCCCTGCCCTGGACAGATCCCTCTCAACTCCAGGATGCTTATACCTTGCAGTACGATCCTCTATCAGAAGCTGCTGCTTTTTAACTTGATGGTATGATGGAATCAAAAGGAGAAGCATTTGTGTCTGTGTATGAAATTCCAGCAAAATAATTTTTACAAATAGGTTGTTGCCCCCACTCCCTGCCCCTTCCAAATCCTTCCCCAAGTTGGCTGGGAGTCTTGCTCAATCAGTGAAATCCCTGCCAACCACAACCCAGGAAAGGAGGTAAATAAAAGCTTAATAGGTCCCAGTATTCTAATAAAATATTCTTTAAAGTATGTCTGTAATCTACTTGGGAGAGAGGGAGGGAGGGAGGGAGGAAGGTGGTTTTGAACATTAGCTCAAATTCCCAGTGCCAAAGGCCTTTATGTGGGACCATCCTTTCCAAATTTTAGAAAAGTCTGGGGTTAGCTTAATCAGAATTGACATGGCCATTTTCATTAATTCAGCAATATTGTGTTTATTATTTTTAAATACTTGAAAAAAAAGTGTGGTATGTCTTTATCTGAGACACATAAATGGCATTGACTTCGTGTACTGTCACAAGGCTGTGAAGAAAGCAAAGGAAATCAATTGTGTGTATAAATTGTGTTCCTTTCATTATATTGATAGTACTGTCTCGTCACCTCAGATTGGGGTTGTGCACTTTAGCTCTGAACTGTACAGTGTTGCAAATCAACATGTGTTGCTGTAAAAGCTTGTACAATATATTATTGACATGTCTTTTTCTGTGTGGTAGCTGTATCAATATTACAAGAACAACATCCGCATCTGTTCCTGTGCGCTCTCTCTCCCCCCTCTCTGCTAAACTGTACACCCTCCACATCCACTCTAATAGCGAACATGCCCTCTGCTAAGCTCTCTACTCAGAAATCTCCTTTGAGAACTGTGCGATCACACAAAAATGCAAGGTGAATGCCGCTCATGTCCGAGAATAGAGGAGACCCATATGGAGTGTCACAAACCGCCCAAATTGCAGGTATTGTCCCCACTGGGGTTTGGAGTAGGAGCTATTCCTCAGAACATGGACAAAGAAAGCACGGGTGTAAATATAGCAGCAGGACAGGGAATCAAGGACCCTCACAGTGGGTATCATCTTGCACGTGCTCTCCTGTTTTCAGATGCTACATACAAACACTGTGTATTTATTAGTTTCATGCTCCAAAATACTGTTCCCAACTGGTGTTTCTGAAAGACATCAACATCTCCCCAACATTACGCCATTTACTAAGACAGAAAAAAATAAAAAATATAAACACGTGGCAACATGTTCTTACCAAATATAAACTTGTGTATGATCAAAGTATTTTATCTGTGTTGTCTCTCTAAACCCAAATAAATGTGTAAATGTGGACATGCCTTGGGCTCTGCTTGCTTATTTCTGACTTTGCCTTGTCGTGGAGCTCATTTTTAACAAGTTGCCTGGTGGTTCAGTTGGTTAAGCGACTGCCTTCGGCTTAGATCATGATCCTGGAGTCCCAGGATCGAGTCCCACATCGGGCTCCCTGCTCAGCAGGGAGTCTGCTTCTCCCTCTGACCCTCCCCCCTCTCATGTGCTCTATCTCTCATTCTCTCTCTCAAATAAATAAATAAAATCTTTAAAAAAAAAAAAAAAACAAGTTGCCTGAATACAAGGCCCTTGTCTTGTCACAGAGCTCAGAGTGTCTTTGGGTCTTTGTTGGGGAAAAAGAGCTCTTACTTCTGCCGCCACTCTTACCGTCACTTCTGAAGGATATTGTTTTACCACACGTGCTTCAATTCTTCAAGCAGATCCAGTCTTTTTTTAGAAAACATCTTATTATGCAAAATTTCACATACATGCAAAAGTGGAGAGAACAGTATAAGAAATTCCCGCGAAGTTTTCACCCAGCTTCAACATTTACTGATTCAGAGACTGAATCTCATTTCACCAGTCCCCGACCCCATGTCCTCCCTAACACCAAATTATTTTTATATGAATCTGAAAAGATAAGGGCTCCTATAAACAAAAAGAGAAAAGTCCTCAATATGATTATCACAGCTAAAACAATAATAATGTCATAATAGCGGCAAATATTCAGTTAATGTTCTCATTTCCCTGGGTCTCATTTTGACAGCAAAATCCATAGCCCATGGCCTGTGGCCCAGGAAAGCCAGAGAGGCCCACAAAACTTTCAGGAGAGCTGGGACACGGATAATTCAGGTGCACCATCCAATCCTGTACACACATGGGTTATATGTAGGCTGTTGTATATTATTGGTTATTTCTGCACCTCTGTGGGTTCTGAATTTTGGAGCTATCATGTTCAGGGGCTTTTCTCCATTGCTGTTATGGAGTAAAAGGGGTGTGCAGGTTAAATGCTAGAAAGCCATGGGAATTTAATTGGTGGAATATATCCTGATGTGCCTTATCAAGTCCAGGCTGCCCCTATGGGCTCGAGATACCCTTAAAGGTATTAGTCTAGAGTAAACAGATACTACTTCAAGCAGATGCGGGGCTGGGGGAGGACATAAAGGGGAGGAGGAGACAAGGTTTCTAGATAATTTCAATATTGCTCCTAGGGGAACCAATAGACAACAGCCAAATAAAGAGGCAACGCCTTGTGCATTCCTGCCTTTGTTCACATCATTCCCTCAGCCTGGGAAGAATCTCCCATTCTTCCTTGCTCTAGGGAGCAATATCTCATGGATTGCGTTACAACAGCCTTCTTCATGAGGTTTTTATAGGGGTTAAATAAAATGTATGTACAGCACTTAGCATGGTGCTTTGCGTCCAAAAAGCTTTCAGCAGTCTTGTTCTTGTTAGTGATGCTGGTAATTATATATGACTTCTACAACTCAGCTTTGTCCCCCTCCTCTGAATTCCCAAACTACTTGCTCTTGGTCAGTAGTGCTCATGGGCACTTATCTAACAAGTTCAGGCTGGAAATAGCATCTTTTATATTTTCTTCTGCTCGACCAATGTAGATTATAAGGAGAGTCTGTTTCTTATCGTTCTGTCCCCCCTCCAGCAGCACACACACCCCTGACAAAATTCTGCAGTCTCCATCGGTGTCCTACAAGTAGAAGGCACTCCATCCATACTGTCACTGGATCTCCCCCTGGTGTGTGATGTGAGTCTAGGCAAGACAACATCTTCAGCTGAGAAATATGACAAATATCCAAAATATAAGAACTTATACAATCCAAAACCAAGAAAATCAAATAATCTGATTAAAAATAGGCAGAGGACCTGAATAGACAATTTTCTGAAGAAGACATACAGATGGCCAACAGCCATTTGAAAAGGTGCTCACTTTCACTCATCATCTGGGAAATACAAATCAAAACCATAATGAGATATCATCTTACATGCATAAAAATAGCTAGAATAAAAAAGATAAGAAACAAGCATTGGCGAAGATGTGGAGAAAAAGGAACACTCATGCAGTGTTGCTGTGAATGTAAACTGATGCAGCCACTGTGGAAAATAGTTTGGAGGTTCCTCAAAATATTTTTTTAAGATTTTATTTATTTATTTGATAGAAAAGAGAGAGCACGAGCAGGGGGAGCAGCAGAGGGAGAGGGAGAAACAGACTCCCCACTGAGCAGGGACCCCAATGCGGGGCTCGATCCCAGAACTCTGAGATCATGACGAGCCAAAGGCAGATGCTTAACTGACTGAGCCACCCAGGTGCCCCCAAATATTTTTTTTTAAAGAAATACCATGTGATCCAGTAATTTCACTGCTGGGTATTTACCAAAGAAAACAAAACACTAATTTGAAAAGATACATGTTTATAGCAGCATTGTTTACAACAACCAAGATATGGAAGCAACCCAAATGTCCATTGAGAGATGAATGGATAGATATGTATATATGTGGATAGATATAGATGTGGTATATATATAGAATAGACAAAGATACACACACACACCCACACACACACAGTGGAATACTACTCAGCCATAAAAAGCATGAGATTTTTGTCATTTGCAACAACATGGATGGACCTAGAGAGTATTATGCTAAGAGAAATATGTCGGACAAATACTATATGCGAAAGACAAATACTATATGATTTTACTTATATGTGGAATCTAAAAAAACAAAATAAATGAATAAACACAAACATAAAGCAGAAATAGACCCACAAATACAGAGAACAAACTGATGGTTGCCAGAGGAGAGGAGGGTAGGAGATGGGCAAACTGGGTGAAGGGGAGGGGGAGATACAGACTTCCAGTTATAAAGTGAATAGGACTTGGGAATATTAGGTAAAGCACAGGGAGTATAGTCAGTAATATTGTAATAACTCTGTATAGTGACAGATGGGCTATATGTGGTGAGCATAGCATAACATATAAACTTGTCGAATCACTATGTTGTACACCTGAAACTAATGTAACATTGTGTGTCAACTATACTTCAACTTAAAAAAATAAGTAAGTAGGGGGTGCCTGGCTGGCTCTTGATCTCAGAGGTTGTGAGTTCAAGCCCCACCATTGGGCATGGATCTTACTTAAAAAGTTAAAAAAAAAAAAATTAAATAAATAATAAATAAATAAAAGGACTAAGTGGAAAAAAAGATTACAGGTTTATAAAGGCCCTTAGGAAGCATTAATTAATTCAGCTAACTTTTATTGAGGAGCTTCCATATGCCAGATGCTTTCATAGAATTATTTATTTATTTTAGAGAGAGAGAGCATGAGCCGGGGGAGGGGCCGAGGGAGAGGGAGAGAGAAACCCAAACAGACTCTGCACTGAACACAGAGCTGGACGCAGGGCCCACCCTCACTACCCCAAGAGCATGACCTGAGCTGAAACCAAGAATTGGACAGTCAACCGACTGCACCACCCAAGTGCCCCTGGATGCTTTCATATATTAATCCAGCACCTTCATTTGACAGATGAGAAAATTGAGACTCAGAGAAGTTTAGCCATTTTCCAAAGTCAGTGAATTCACAGCACAAACAGCACTTTGCAATGAGATGATACATCTGGTGAAGCCAGATGGACACTGCCCAACCATGCTAGACTGCCTGACTTCCTCCGGTCTTCCATATTTCCCTACCTACATCTCCCATCTCCATTGTTACCACTCTTCCCAACACTCAATGCCACCTGGCCTTTTCTAAGTCCTGCCCCAGGGCCTTTGCCCTTACCATGCCCACTACTGAGGACTCGCTGTCCCCAGAATTTTTCACAGGTGGCTCCTTCTCAGTCAGGCTGGGCTCCAATACCACCTCCTTGGCAAGGCCCTCCCAGACCAACTGATCTGAATTTCTTCACTCTTTATCATGCCATTTCATTTAATTTTTTCATAACAATGTCATTTATTTTTCACAAAATGCCTCAGTGGGAGATAACAATGCAAACCATTACCTATCCACAGAAATGTGTGATTCAAACTAGAATTTTCTCAGACTCTTTCGTTGTCAAAATGAGAAAATTCACATTCGCATGTACAAGAGGAGGAACAGTATGCTCCATCCTAACATCCTGATAATATGTAATTCCTAAAGGCGGTTTAATAGTGCCCTCCCCTATGTTAGCTTTCTCTGGTCACCCCCACCTTAACTGGAGCTTAAAATTTTCTATTACGTGATTCTTTCACATTTTAACTTGGGCTTCGTACACTCTGCTTTTATGAATTAGACTTTTTTTGTTTAATTTAATTTTTGAGCCAGCAAAAAGAACTGCTTCCTAGTCCAATTAAGTGAATACATCTAGCTCTAAAATTAAACCCAAGGCAATGTCCAGTTAACTCAATTTTTACCATCTCAGGCAACACTGTCTGAAGTTCCTTTTACGTTTTCCAATGACAGGGTCAACCAATGCCGTCTTCTTTAATTTATTTGCCTATTAAAACACACATACACAAATATATGTGTATATATATAAATACGCTATCTAAATACACAGTTGCATACACTTGTATGTAACTACATACATACAAGTGTACGTTCGCACACACACATCTGCTACAATTTGATGGACTTAGTGGTATAATAATAAAATTCAAATCTATTTCAGTTATTGACACAAAATAGGAGCAAGCACTCACCGAATGATCAATAGCTCAGAGCCCAAGTTTAAGGAGAACTGGAGGGGTTATTGATTTCCCAATAAGCAGGGGTGCTATAAAAAATACTCCATGAGCATTGGCTGGTTTCTTTATGTCTATGAATGAGGAGGCCCAGAAAGGAAGAAGGTCAGGAGCAGGGAGGCTAAGGAGGGTAGCAGGTTCCCAGGAGTAACTGCACCACCAACGTGCCCCCTTCGGCCACCATTCACCCTTCTCTCAACCCCTGAGCTATTGTTATCTGAGGAAAATGTACAATAAAAATTGCTCTGAAAGAGTAAAAGAACTACAAATGGACAATCTTCTGCCATG